CAGAGTTCTTTTTTATTGTTTCTTTTTGGGATAACTGTCAAATAGGTCCTCGAACTTTCATAAAAAGGTCAATTAAGTCCTTCTATAGGAGGTTCTGTCCGGCCGTCGCGATTTGGGGCAGTTCCCGGCGGAATTTTTTGATGAAATTTTTTGAGCATCTTATTCACCAAGTCTAGTTTACTCATACCAAATTTCAGCTAAAAATTCAATCGGGAACACATTGAAATTAATTCTTGAAAATAACTGCGCATTTTTGCGTTCTTGAATTAATTTGAATGCGCTCCCGATTAAATTTTTAATTGAAATTTGGTATGAGTAAACTAGACTTGATGAATAAGATGCTCAAAAAATTTCATCAAAAAATTCCACAGGGAACCGCCTCAAATCGCGACGACCGAACAAAGTCTCCTATAGAAGGACTTAATTGACTTTTTTATGAAAGTTCGAGGACTTATTTGGCAGTTTTCCCTTTCTTTTTCAATTGAAGATAAATCAATGCATAAATTACTAAATCACTGGACCAAAATTTCTCTTAAAACTTTATATACGGAGTAATTTGCATCGGTTGGCGGTCAAAACAAGTGCACGGTGTAGCGGTCATCAATCTTAAAGATTGACCATTTATTTCGAGTTGCAATTAAAATAATGGCGACATAATTGTGTTTACATTATCGGTCACCCAAAGGCAGCTGCCTATCGTAGAAATACTCCTTCATTGGTGGTTTAACCCTAATTGTATTGTTGACAGTTTAAACTTTGACTATATTAGTGATAATTAATTCTGTTTCCCCCCAAAAGAAGGTGTACTACCAGACAAGACAAAGAGTCCATTTAATATAATTTAAATTAATTAAATTTATTGAAATTTATGAAATTTAATTGGATTTATTGAAAATTTATGAAATTTTAATTGAAGTGACTGCTAAATCTATTGAATTATGGATATAATATATTTAAAGTACAAATTTTAATAAAATTGAGAAAAAATTATGAATAATAGCTAAAACAGCGTATGTTCTATGTTAACTTTAGTCAATTCAAGCAGCAAATAACTTTGATCTTACTTATTTTAATTATTTCTTAATAAATACGAGAGTAAAAAATTATGTGTTTGATAAAACATATGGTTGACCAGATTGATATGCTGAAAACAGGGGTTACCAACGGCTCCAAAGAAAAATATATTCCCTCATAAAGCACTTGGTATGTAGTAATAACTTGTCAGGTTTGGCCAGCACATAATACTGTAAGAATCAAAGGTGGTACTTTATGAGGTCGTTTGGAACTATTGTTTTTTCGGCTTATCAGGCTCATCAGCTAACTTTTTCACCAAACACGTAACTTTTGCTTTCCCGCGCTGAATTGTGTAATAAGCACAAAAAGTAAGGTTAGAGTTACTTTTCTGGCTGTATTGACTGAAGTTACTGTAGATGACCATTTTAGCTATTTTTTACATATAATTTTTTCTTTACTTTATTAATGAAATAAATTTTAAAAATATTTTTTTCTTAAATCAACAGAATCAGCCAATGCAGCCACTTCAGCCAAAACTTCATAAATTTCAGCCGAATCAGTCGATTATCGTGCTACCAAACGGGCTTTATAAGTTCATATCATTCATCTTTTAATATTTTATCAAGTTTGAAGGTTACCTGAAAAATAAAGTGGAATTAGATTTGCACGGTTGAAAAAAAATTATAATCACAAATTATTTACGGTGTACTCTTTTTTTGGAAGAATAGCGAATTATTTACTAAAAAAGAAATTTACAATTTTTTTACAATACAAAGAATTAGCAAAGTTATGAAGGACAAGTAGCGGATGTTTTTAACAGGGTTTTCATATAATTCAAATAATATTTGTTTTTTTTCTAAAATAAACGTAAATAAATTGTTTTATTGTTTCAACCTCAACTATAGCAACTCGTTAATTATCAAGGAAGTGTGATTTGTACATCTCAGTATGATTTAATGGTCGCAAACTCGCAATACTTGAATTATTTTCATCTAATGGCAAGATTATATGAAGTACTCCGTATTGTGTGTGATACTCGATCGGTATGACATTTTGATTTTCTAATGGCAATAACAATACGCGTAAATTTACAGACCATGTAATTAAACGTTCTCCTAATTGACAGACGCGTATACCACACAACCGGCTGTACGGCTGGCACTGTACAATTGGTGGCAGTTCTGTAATTTTGATGAAGTTCATGATTTCTCTTAAATGAGTATTGATGTAATTTGGAGGAGCATCGAGTCTGTTCTTCTGAGTGTTAGGAGCCTAACAATGAGCACCAGTGATCTCTACTTCATATATTCTAATTCAATTTCTTTTTATTATTTTTTCGTTTATAAAAAACTCTTAAATTATGTTTATAATAATTTCAATATGTGAATCTAATGTAGTATGATATGTTTGATATGTGCATCATTTTATAATGAACATAAAGCAGTACCAAATAGGCATACATAATTTACAAAATGAGTATAAAAAATTCAAATGCTCATTTGTGTATGCTCATTGATTTTGGGCGTTATAGTTGATATGTGCATCATTTTAAAATGAGCATAAAGCAGTACCAAATGAGCATCCATAATTTACAAAATGAGTATAAAAAAATTCAAAAGCTCATTTGTGTATGCTCATTGATTTTGGCGTTATACTCATTTAAGTTTAACATAAAACTCATTTTTAATGTGCTTAATATTCAGTTGTGTATATTCATTTGTTTTTAGCGTATACTCATTTGAGTTTAATACAAAGCTCATTTTTAAGTGCTTAATATCCAGTTATGTTTGTTCATTTCTTTTATGAGTATCCTCATTTGAGTTTAATATAAAACTCATTTGAGATCAATAGCAGTGAGGATTCCTATATCTACAACAGACTATCTTTGTCTTCCAAAATCACAGTCTCAAAACATCAAAACTGATTGAAGAAAGAAGAGAAAAACTAAAAGAGTGAAAGAAAGGCATGGAGGATCTGCTGTGTCCGTTCTAGAAGAGAAGGAGATGAGCGGTGAGAGGCAACGACGAGCAACGACCTGGAAGAGAAAGAGACGAGCGGTGAGCGTATAATCGACCAGGTGTGAAGCCAGATCAAAGAACCAGACGAGATCTGAAGTTGGTGCGAAGCTGGGTGCGAAGTCAAGGAAGAAGGCCAGAGCAAGAATGATCGAAGAAGAAGCGCAGAGCCAAAAAAAGGGCCGGCTGTAATGTGCGCACTGTACAGCCGGCTGTATGGGTGTATTTTACCCCTAATTGACGCACTAGATGTCTTGATATCCTAATATGAATGAGTTAATTGCCTAACTAGGAGTAAAAGGCAGCTAAAATTACATATATAACTACATTGTTTTAAATTTCCTAGTAGGACTAATTATGTGTGTTTGACAAATGTACCTTTGTAGCTTTTTAGACTAAAATAAATATTTAATAAAATTAATAAAAATAAAAAATATAAAACTAAAATTTTCAAAAATCAAACAATAAAAAAAGGTAAAAAAAAATACACCGCCGCCTGTGCATGCATTAGTAATGCCATATTGATGGAAGTTTTTTCAATTAAAATTTGACATTATTAAAGAGTAATATGTCATTTTCTTGGCATTTTTAGAAAAAATAGTTTTTTTCCACAAAAATAGCATTTTCTTTTCACCGGGCGGAGGTGGTGATTCTGGTAGGCGGTAGATGCGATGGGAAAGGCATCCCTATTTTTTATAAAAAAAATTCATCGGATTTTTACTATTCCCTGCATCCCATTTTGGTTGTTATACTTTCCTTTTTGGATTGTCTCAAAATGAATGTCATGTTTTTCTTTTTGGAAAAAAATATGTGGTCTTATTATTTCATTTTATTCTATTCACATATCAACCATAACTGTTATTTTTCAACAACTTTATTAATAATCTTGCTAAATTGAAAGAGGACAACCAATATACGAAGTATATGCCAACTAAAGAGGACTACGTGTTTATTAATCGCTCCGTCACATTTAAACCTTTACACTTTCCTTTTTAAAAAAGTCTCATTTAAATATTTACATTTTCTTTTTTGACAACTCCTTTTACATTAATTTTAAAGTATTTGTTCCACATCGGAAAATAAAAAAACAATAGAAATATTATATAGAGCTTAAGGTTGACCTTTTATGATGGAACCTCAGGTATTAACATGGTATGAGAGCCAAATACTGAAGCCCGATTGTTATTTGAATGCTTATTTAGCACTCATGATTAAGGATAGCTTGTATACACCCGATATCGCCCAACTTGATTAAGGTTGAGGAAGCGTCTTAAAGTCATTATCCCACACCAGAAAGCTATAAACCAATAAACACGCTATATAAGGTTTTGAGTTACTGTTCTTATCAGATTGACTTTTTAGAATGAAACCCCGAATCTTAATATTATTTGTCCTAACTACCCGTCACTATTGACCTACTTTTTACATTTGGGATAACATTAATTAATCTCATAGATCAAAGAGTATGAAAGACATTTGTTCTTCTATTAATTGGTCTCCTAGAAGCCATATCAAAAACAAACGTCAACATTTAACCGGTATTATTTTGTTTAGTTCTTGTTCTTCTAACTTGTACTCCCTTTGTCCCACTAAGATCTTCTTGCTTTCCTTTTTTACCAGTCCCAAAATGAAGTTCTCATTTCCTTAAATGGAAAATTATGCTACATCAAAACAGTTTCAAACATTGAAAAACAGTGTCAAACAATGTCAAACAGTGTCGAAACAGTGTCAAAATAGTAAATTTTACCCTCCGATAAGTTTATTTCCATGATATGTGTAGGTCAAACTAGGAACATTTTAGGGGATATGACGGAAGTAGTATTATTTATGATAATCGCTCAGTCAAACATCTCAATTCTCAAACTACCTACCACCATTCTTCCACGTACTACATCCACTATAAATATGAGTGATTAAAGTTTCGAAAGCTAAATCAAACCATATCATTGCCTCTCATCACATTTCTCGTTTCGGGTATATATAAATATAGAGTTTTTTCTTAGCTTCGCTATCAATCTGTCATCCCAATTATCTGTATTTTCTTCCTAAGTTCACAAGATCAGCTCAGTAATTAGCCACTGCTTAATTAATTGTTTTTTGTTTCAAACACAAAATCATTAATTAGCGAGGGAAAATGCCTTCTGTACCGACGACCCCAGTAGCCGCGGCTTTGTCCGACATCAACGATTTCGTGGTGAAACAAGGCCACGGAGTGAAAGGGCTTTCCGAACTTGGGCTCCCGACTGTCCCCGCCCAATATGTTCACCCGCCGGTGGAGCGCCTCTCCAGCATGGAAGTCATTGCTGACGATGGCATCCCCGTGATAGACGTTGCCAACTGGGAGGACCCCGAGGCCGTGGCCCGCCTCATCTGCGATGCAGCCGAGAAGAGGGGTTTCTTCCAGATTGTGAACCACGGCATTCCTCTGGAGGTGCTGGAGAAGGCCAAGGCGGCGACTCACCGCTTCTTCCGGGAGCCCGCGGAGGAGAAGAAGAAGTACTCTAAGGACAACTCTCCCACCAGCAATGTGAGGTACAGCACCAGCTTTCTTCCCCAGATAGAAGAGGCTTTGGAGTGGAAAGACCACCTCAGTATGTTCTATGTTTCTCAGGATGAGGCTGCTTTGTACTGGCCTCCTTCATGCAGGTGTGTGTTTAATACGTAGTATAAATGTATAATGTTATCTTTTGTAGGACAATGTGGTATTAATGTTTAAGAAATGGCAAATTCTAGGTACTCTCCTTGTTTTAATTACATGGATCAATTAGAATTTTGAGACTTAATATTTTGAACACAAATAAATTATGTTGCATGGAAACGTGAAAATCATGGGGAAACGCGAAACGAGAAACATCATCTTTTACTTGAAAAACAATTGTTTAGAGAGTTTTCAAAGAATTTCCATAAATTTTTTGAAACGGAACGTATTCTTTGCCTAGAGTTTCAGTCCTGCATAGCAAATAAACGAAGAAATAATGACTTGAAACAATCAAATACGGAGTACATGATAGATACAATGCCTTAAATTTTTATGAGTTCATAACATTCACCTTAAAAAATTAGTCAAAGTAGGAGTAAACACGTAGTAAGTAAAACTAAAAAATAAAGTAAATATGTTATCTTCTACAATTGTAGAGCTATGAGAAAACTTAAGTCTTTTAGAGTTTTTTTTTCATTAATTATATTTAACATACTTTCATTTTAATATATATATATATATGAGTAATCAAAACAGGGATGGTGCATTGGAGTACCTCAAGAGTTGTGAACTAGTGAGCAAGAAGCTATTGGAAGCACTCATGCGCGGCCTAATCAATGTCAATGAAATCGACGACGCCACAACTTCTCTCCTCATGGGCTCCCGTCGGATCAACATCAACTACTACCCCAAGTGCCCCAACCCCGACCTCACGGTCGGAGTTGGCCGCCACTCTGACATCTCCACCCTCACCCTCCTCCTTCAGGATGACATCGGTGGGCTCTACGTGCGCAAGCTCGAAAACGACGCTTGGTCCCACGTCCCGCCCGTCAAGGGCGCCCTCGTCATCAACATCGGGGACGCCCTCCAAATCATGAGCAACGGACGCTACAAGAGCATCGAGCATCGCGTCATGGCCAACGAAAGCAATGACAGGATCTCCGTCCCCGTTTTCTTCAACCCCCGGCCTACCGACGTTGTGGGGCCGCTCCCCGAACTCCTCGCTGCCGGGGAGACCCCAATTTACAAGCCAGTCCTTTACTCCGACTACGCCAAACACTTCTACCGCAAAGCTCACAAGGGGAAAGACACCATTGCTTTTGCTAGGATTGCTCAATAGTTATTTAACAACAATAATTTAAGATATATCGTCCTAGCTCAACGACGCTAGCTTTCATTACAACTTACCAGTGATCATTTAATTATACTGTACTACGTATTAAATAACATCGCACGGGCGTGCATCGGTGCATGCATAAATATTTACATGCAATGTACTCCATTATTATTAATTTACTACTCCCTCCGTAACTTTAAAATCTTCCCACTTTCTTTTTTCGTCCGTAACAAAAAAATCTTCTCATTTTTAAATCTTTCCATCATACCTTCAATAATTCTGAAAATAATACACTATTATAACTACTTTTTTTTGGATTTATCCTACATTACATCACCTTATTCCACTATCTTCCTGTCATACCCTCAATAATTCATATTCTCTTTCACTATTGTTAATCTACCTACTTTTCAAATTGGAAGATTTTAAAGTTACAGATGGAGGGAGTACTACGTAATACTTACAATAATGTAGTGTACTCCATTAAGAATGAATATTTCTGTGATCCCTAGTTCTTTCTTGGTTGTTCTTTTCTCACTCTGATGCCGGTCAATTCAGGGCCGTCTTTACTCGTTAAGAGACCCAATGATGCCATTTAGGATGTTTTCCTTCCGATTGAAATTGGTTGTTCCGGTCTGGTCTAGTCTGCTCTGATCTGGTCTGGGTAAATGTTTGGTCTGATGTAAAAAATATTTAAAACACATGTATGTAATCCCACCGGCCAAACTCCATTCTCAAGGACCGCCAATTTAGTTTATCTACCTACAATCTCCTATTCTATTAACATCTTCGATTCTTCGCCTTCATGCATTCAAAGCTGCAAAAGAGACTACTTGAAGCCATAGCTGAAATATCTCCATGATTGGTTTGAATGAAAATACGTACTTCATGTTGCAATCGTATAAACTTCACACTGGTTAGAACTTGCTAGACCATTAATACTACCTCCGTTCTCTTTTAATTGCAACGTAGGACTTTTTTCACTATTCACAGATTCTACTTTGACTACATTTTATTAATTAATGTATTATGAATTAAATTTTTAAAAAATATTTTTAAATTCCTCTCATAATAAATTTTCAAAATCCGATTTTTTTAATTTTTTTACTAATAAGGAATGACAGATATTAACGGTCAAACTTGTGCGTTGGCAAGCGTGAAAAGTGGACTGTAGCAATTAAAAAGGAACGGAGGAAGTATGTCTTTTGGAAAGCAGAGTGCCTGCAATTTAATAAAATTTTATAGCTTCTCTTCTTGCCATTTGCGTAAGCTAAGAAATAAAACTGTCAATATATGTAAGTGTGAATTTTGTATTTGTTTTCGGTGACAACTCCGGTACCCATTTAAAAAATGGGGGTACCGTACCTATCATGTATTTGATTGGTCCAAATCATTATACTCTTTAAAATTTAGATTTAAATAATTCAACTGTATCATTTTGATTGGTCCAAGTGGACAAAGGTATGGTACCTTTTGGATACTATAGAATCTACCTTTGTTTTCATGTAACTACGTAGTATATATATTATTGTGTTTAATGATTCTTTTTATTTAATCCCAAATGCAATAGATCGAATCACTAACCTGCCAAATTAAACATGCAAAGCGGAAAGCCATAACAGCGAAATATAATGATCTAGAACGAATCAACTAATGACTTTCATCTCAATATCTGACAACGTGCCCTTCCATCTTGTCGTCCACCTTAAGTACGGCTAAGAAGGTCGGCTCTCCCTTCTTTACCCCCTTGGCTACTTGCATAGCCGACAAAGTCTTAGCCCCGCCGTTTGGCCGCTCATTGGGAGTCTCCAATGTCGGCACCATGCATGGTGAACCCTTCTCAAGGATGTAAACCGTGCTGAATGATGGCATAGGGATTGCGGTTACCTGCCTCAGGAAGTCCATCCCTAGAACAACCTTGAAATCGTCCATCGGTGCCACCGAAAAGTCCACTTGGCCCTTCCAAGTGCCTAGACGTAGGTCCACGCCTCGGGATAAGCCGTTCAGGGGTTGCGCCTTTGCATTCACCGCCTTCAGCCAACCCTCGCCCTTCGTCCATTGAAGACCAACCCTCTTGGCCTCCTCCTCATTCACGAAGTTGTGCGTCGCACCCGTGTCAACCAACGCCCTTGTTGGTTTTCCATTTATGTATGCCTCGACGTACATGAGCCCCTTGCTTGTCGTCTTTGGCATCGGCTTCGCCTTGAGAGCATTAAGGATTTGGAGCGACCCTATCTTGCTCGTCTCCTCCTCTCGGGCCTCCGCTTCTTGTCGTTCCACTATGGCAAACAACGATCCTAGCTTAGGACAGTCCTTCATGGTGTGTGGTCCCTTGCACACGAAGCATCCACCCTTCGGCACAAAAGACTTCTTCTTTGCCTCGTATTCTTCACGTCCCAAGCTCTTGTCCCCCCTCTTGAAGGACGGTTTCCGTGAGTTCTCCCTGCCCACGTTGTCATGCCGCTCTCCCCCACGTTGTCATACCAAAATACGGGAGTGGGAACTCCCAATTCCGACTAGGGATTAGGCTTACATTTTCGAGTGACACCTCCTGTCGGATTTGGTAATTCCGACAACGTTGAGCACCTATTTGTTTTTTTTTTTGTAAATATGGCTGCAGCAGACAATAAAGTAAATTCCAAAACACAAAACATAATCCATTTTGGGTAAACACCTCTACTTGGAATTGGCACGTCCAACTAGACTAAAAGCCATAAACAATTTTGGATCAAAACATTTACCTAACAAACCTCCTCATTTGTCCTATAAAATTCATTCCTATTCTCAAATTTTTAATATAAAAAAAATCTTCCTCTCTTAATATATTTAATACTTCTTCTGTTCTTAAATAAACGCAACGGTCAACGTTTTATACTTGTCGAGAAACAACTTTGAACATTAATATATATAATTTTGTATCAGTAAAAAAATTTAAAAAGGATAGTCGGATTGGTGACTTCCAACAAGAGGTGTAATCCGATTTTTTTTTAAATATTATATCTCTAGTCGGATTCCTATTCCCGTATTTTTAGAAACTCTAGATAAATTCCCGTATTTTGGCAATCCATGTAACATTTTCTCTTATTTTGGGAAATCACCCCAACATGTAGTGGCCTGAAGGCTATTTGAACGCTGCTTATATATTCAATAATACATAGGCGTCTCATTTGGTGACCCAAGATGCTATTTATTACTCCGTATTAATTTATACTCATGGCCTGGACAGTGGGCAAGTTTTTTTAATTAATGTGTACTCTTGAGAAAGCCAAAGACACTCAAGCATTATTACATTTTATTACATTTTATGGAGTTCCATTTTGCGAAGTATAACAGTCACACGCCTCTAATTATTATACCACTTGCTCCCCCCACCTTCTTCCATTTTCTTGCTACAATTTTACTATATATATAGATATAATTATTATACCACTTGCTTCCCCCACCTTCTTCCATTTTCTTGCTACAATTTTACTATATATAGATATGGATATGGATTAATACTCCTAACCAACATTTTCAACAAATTACTTGACATGAAATTTCGTCCAAATTGGGCAACATCCCTAAGATCTAAGGTACCACAACACTTCTTCAATTAAGCAACAATGCTATTAGTATAAATTTTAATCATCCAAAATTTCAGCTAAAATAAAGCAACAATATAGGCTAAGTACTTCAAAAGAGTATATAAAAATATTGCAATCTACTACTACGTATAATATTTTCAAGCTTGACAAAGGATAGTCACTTAAAAAAGACCAAAAATAAAAATGGTTATTTTACTACTACCTTCGTCCCAATTTGATGATCTTGTTTCTTATTCACTTAGTCAACACAAAACTAGCTTAATCTCTCACTTTATATATCAAAGTTTTATTAAATATGAATTTTCTTTTTGCGACTTTGTAAAAATGTGGTTTCTGAATCTTTAAAATTTATTTATTAAAAATAATTTGATTGTGGACAAAGATCTGTTTACTTTATCGTCGGCCAAACCTCATAAACCGCAATCAGACCATCAACCTGGGATGCGGGGTTATATTTTCAGATTCGTACTGGACAAGAGAGGTCAATCCAGAACCGAATGACCCAGAGCCCAATTTGATATTGTAAACTATCAATCCGCTAATATGTCCAAACCCGAAATTACCTGCTGACTGGAGCGTAATCGAGATGGCCCAAACTCAAAAAATATGTAAAACATGGAAACAAGTTCAAAATCTAAGCCCGAGGGGGTTCGAATCCTGGTATATAATGTGAAAACACAGATTTCACTCCAAAGAACTACTTCCTCCGTCCTACACTAGTGACTTTGAACATGTTTTTCTCTAACTAAATTTAATCCTCTCTGCATATCACATATACCTTCCCACTTCCAAAGTGGTGAGATTAAGAATAGTGAAATGTGATATAAATTATTGAGGGTATGATGGGAAGATAGTAAAATAATGTGATGGAATGAAGGATAAAAAAAAATAGATGTAATAGTGTATTATTTTTTAAATTATTGAGGGTATGATGAGAAAATTTAGAAATGGGAAGATATAAATGTTACGTCCAAAAAGGGTAATTGGGAAGATATGAATATTACGGAGAGAGTATTACTTTAATTTGTCTCAGTCAATACATTGAAAGGCAGCTACAACTTTGGGAAATTAATAATCATTATAAAAATATAACAACATTAGTAATTACTACATGCTATTGTTTTATATAGTAAAACTGAGCTATACTTAATGATGTGGCACATTCTTATTGGATAACAAAAACATTATTATTTACACTAGGCAGGGCAAAATTTTCGGGATCAGGATCTATAGACTTCAACGCTTTTATTATCTATTTTTTTTAATCTAATCCATGTTTGATTTAAATCTGATGCGTTAATGCATGAATTATCTATGTCAATCTAAATCGATACAATGTACAATTATTACTGAACCTCAATTATTACACTTAACGCAAATTCATAAAAATATAAAACATTACCCTAAAACACTAATAAGTAAATTACATAATTATTATCTATTTTTTATTACTTTTATACAGTTCAATTGAGTTATAAAAGCAATGTTGTGTCACTATCTCATTGAGTCATTGGTTAGCAAAAAATCTATTATCCAAAAAGTAAAGTTATATTAAGAATTAATTTCTAAACATAATTAAGTTTTTAGAAGACCATATAATCACGTAATCTTCACATACATTACCTGAGGCAGAAATAATACAACACAAAATAAAATTATTCAAATAATAGGACTCCAGTAAATCCGACTCTGGCTCGAATAATGTTCATGGTGCGAGTATTTTCTTTTTAACCGGCCCGAATAAAAAACCCAGGCCGAACACGAAATTTCCAGCTCATAGACGGGCCCTAAAATCTATAACCCAATCCCAACCTATAAAAAGCTTAGCTTTAATAAAAAACAATATAATATACGAGTATAATTTATAAATAATTCATAATATATGGTCATAATCATAGTAGATGAAATAAAATTTATAGTAACTTTAGCCACATTTTTATACATAAGTTTTATTTAGTAATATTTTTAGAAAACCTATATTATTTACTTATATGTATCTTAAACAAAATATTAAGATAATTATCTTTTTTAAGACTGAAATTGTTGGTGATTTTAGAGACTAATATTTGAGTTATTATTTGCGGTTTGTATTTTTGATTAATTTTATTTTAAAATAGATTTTAAAATATAAAAGAACAATGCGAAGATTTCACGTTCGGGCTTTAACCGGCCCAACCCGAAATTGGGTGACTGGGCTATACCGGTCTGGTCTTATCCTGTTGATGACCTGGTGGTCCATGTCTGGTTGATGATACAGTGGTCCCTATTCGGTCTGGTTAGATCGACGACCAGGCGGTCCCTGTCCTGGTCTGGTCCCCATTTTTTTAAAAAAAATGATTTTTGAAAGTGAAGATTTTTGAAAGAGTTGTTGGGTTGCAAACCATTAGGAAAAAAGAAAATAATTAGTCAAACTAGTTGTTGGGATCGGGTTCTACCAGGTCCCAACTTTCCTATACCAGGGACCGGGTACCCAATTTGGGTTCTACTAGGTTCGTTCCAGACCGGGATCGTTCTTTCGATATTTTGCATTGGCCGATCCTAGAACCCGACAAAAAAATTTGGTGAACATGTTTTCAGATTTGAAAATAGAATACTAAAAAATGAAAACAGAAAATTTGAGAATGAAAGACTGGAAAATCAAAACATAAAATATGGGAACATAAAACATAAAAGAAAATTGGAAATTATCTCTGTTAGTAAACATGTTTGGTGAAAAATTAGTTGATAAGACTGATAAACTGAAAAACATGATCACCAAACGCGCCTTAGTTTGTCACATACCATATTCAGTAATATTTGAGTGGTTACGAATTATTCTTACTTTTTTAACACTATTGTTGGGATATATTATCCCGGTCTGTTACTGTTCAGGAGCCCAAGACATTATCCAGTACGGAGCTCGAGCAGTTAGGCCCATTTTGGCCCGTCAGGCTTGTTCGATCCTTTGGGCCTGTTTCGGCCCACTTGGCCCATTAGGGTAGAGAGCCCCTTCCCCTTTTTCCTATAAATATGGGAGTTTCCCTCCATATGATGGATCGCTTTTCTTCTTCCTCCTCTCTAGAATAGCTTAGAACTCCATTAATGGGAGCTTCAATACTTGTACTATGTGACGATGCACTTTGTCACGGTGCGTCAAAATAAATTCAATACTAGCACTGATACGTAGTATAGTGAAGTAGAGTTCATATCCACAGGGAAAGGAATAATTCTCTTTTTATGAAGCTAGTAAATAAAAGGGGGAGTTTTATGGTTGAATGATTTAATTTAATTAAAAACAAAGATGAAGGACTTATATGAGATTTAATTCAAAGATAAAAAGGACTTGGCATTGCTACTTTCCACTTGTTGATATATTTTAGTCGATCATTGTTATATCTATAACTTATCCCCTCTCAAATACTCAATCGAGGAGTATATCCAATTCATCGAGAGTAGTTATTAACAACGACCGTTCATTAATAACCCTTACTATTAGTCAAGTATAGAACACCGCCATATACCGACTTAATAGTAGCATTTAATCTCTTAACTCCTTGATGAAATCAATTGAGATTGATAACCTCAACACAACGGTTTCGGTTTAACCAACAAAATTAATCCCTCTTAAGTTTATTAACCACGACCGTGCATTAATAAACCGAAGTTACTTACTTGTGAAACCATCAACAATTAACCATCGGTTCGTTGATCGTTTCTAGTAGTAATTAATGTCGAGATGTTAACTAATTGTCATCTTAGCAACACTCCCCAACATTAATATAGAGATAGATTAAGGGAAGAATTAATATTCAAGGAAGAAGATTAAATATGAATAATCCTACTATAACTAATGTCAAGATGTTATCTAATTGTCATCTTAGCAACACTCCCCAACATTAATATATAGAGGAAGAAAATAAATACTACTATAACTAATGTC